GCCGTTTCTGTGGTGTTTTGTCCGGCTGCCCACCGTCGCTTGTTCTCGTGCCAGAAGCAAGGCCATCTAGACCGTGTCTGCGAGAGTCGACCCCGGTGGCCACGACTCGACTGTGGGGGCCTAGCAACCCTCCCACCGTGTTCGCGTCCGACCACCGGAGGTGTCGAAAGTTGCGTCACCCGTCGGCGCCCCGAGCGCCACAGTCCCGGCCCCGGGGAGGTAACTTGCCCCCGGAGCCCCCAGTTCCTGCTGCAGCCCCGCCTGCAGTTCTTCTTGCTGCAGCCCTGCCTGCAGCCCCGTCTCCAGTTCCTGCCGCTGCCCAGTCAGCCACAGCCCCTTCCGCTGCAGCCCTGCCTGCAGCTCCTACTGAGGGTGCAATCTCCAGCACCTGTGGCAGTCCAACAGTGCTGACGCAGCCACCTGTAAGTGAGTGTTCGACACCGACCCCGGAGCCGCCAGAGCCCCTGAGTCCAGACAAGTTCACTCCCCGGCAAGAGAGTCGCCCGCTTTCAAGTCGGCGACCGCCGGGACGATTTAAAAGCTATGTGCTAACACTAAAGGAACTTTTGAGTTGATTTCGACAAGTATATGAACATTCAGCGAATTTTTCTTTATCCAGCTTACTGCCCCAGCGCAGCCTTTTTTTTCAGTGAAGTGCTTTCCGCAAATCTTTTGCGACATGCTTTTCCTTCTCATTAATTTCACATTTTCCAGTGTCTTGACATAGAGTTGTCAGATGTCATTTCATTTCAGTGCGTTTCCTTACTTCCCAACTGCCCTGCAGTTTGGCGTCAGTTATTTTTCGGGAAAAGACTCCATTCAATTTTTTTTCCTAAGAGAGGGAAGGATAGGTATTTTTTTTTAGGGAAAGGAAAGTGTAGTATTTCAGCTTTTCCATTTAAGTCACTCGCCACACTACCTAGATGGCGCCACTGTTCCACCATTGCGCCCGTGTTATCAGGGTTGTGTCCCCGCGGCGCTCAACCCCACGTTGTTGCCCGTTAAATAAACAGTTACGCTTCAACCACCGACCGCGTCAGACGTCTCTCTCTCTCCGTCCGGGGCTCCCGCGCCCTGCCCGCCGGTCACCTCTTCGGCACGTGAGACTCCTCCTTTTTCCGCAGGCCCACGCGGCACTGCTCTTCTTTATTTTCTCGGGTGTCCGCATTTTCTTTTAGTTACTACATTTTTGGCGACGAGAATTTTCTTTTAATTACTACAGAGTGGAGGTTACTTTGCTGTTGAGCTGCTAGGCAGGAGGTTGAGGGAAAAGAAAAGGTGGGTGACGTACAACTGTCAGTTTAACTATGAAAACCTTTTGATACAGCCCTGACAAAAAATGAGAACAAGTTGAGAACATAACAAGATATGTAGCCCCGTCTTACTCTTTCTTATTACTTTCTATAACCTAGTTTTGTAATATAAAATCATATACTGCTACATAGCACTTAGTGATGTGGAAGATGCTGGTGCACCTTACGGTGAACAACGTGCGACTTCATTATGCAGTTTCCTTGTTTCTTCGAGAATATCTAATTGGATACAAGACACACTTTCATTGCGTGCATGAGACGTCAACAGAAATGTCAAGTGAGTGCAGACTCTGCAGTCAGCTCATGTTCGATTCAGACGACAAATAATCCGCGGATGGATTGATCACGTGACAAGACGTCCAAAGACCGTCATTCGCCGAAGCGCATTCACACGAAGGAGACGAGCAGACGACAACGAGGACTTACCGAACCCACTTGTGGCACTGTAGTTCCGCAAAACGCCAACGTCGCACTGTAGCGCCGTTTTCCAAGAGCAGAAGTAATGTTTGCGACAGCGATCACAGCGTTATCATGAAAAAAAGTCATTTTTCGCCCACAATATGCGAAGGAACGAAAGCGATAGCTTAAGCACGGTCGCGCAATGCGGGTGGAATGGTGCCGTCATGAACCTGAGGACTGAGATGCGACGTGGTTAATTCTCATTGCCGTCGGGGTTGCCGATGGATACTGCCAAAGCTCGATTTTTCATAACGCGAGTATGTTTAAAAACAGGTATTCCAACAAACGACACGATAATTCTCCCTTCGCCGCGCAATTCTTGGCGGGACGCCAAGGCTGCCCTTTTCGCTCGCTTCGCGCGGTACGGCGGACGTGAGTCTCGACTTCCCTCTTCTCGTGGCAAGAGTGGAGATTCTTCGCGCGCGCGGCGACGGCAAGGGACGAGGACGAAATCTCTGCAGAGTGTCGCCCATATAGATTTAAAGGAATCGCCGCAGTTACATAGCGAGCGAGACAGGCTTAGCGTTACTGACCGCATGACAGGAGTATGGTCAAGCTCAAGGAGGCTTCAGCGTTGATACGATCAAGTCCTGGGGTCGTAGAGAGGCGTTTGGAAATGCTTTTATGCACCACTTGCTTGCGCACCCCTCTTCAGCACACCACAGCTGTAAGAAAGGTCTTGCTGGATGAAAAACTGGATAGATGTGCAGGAAAAATCGCAGCGTGCTAGGCGACTTTTGACAGAAGCTTTTTGACGCGGAGGAGTACCGGAACCTGCCGCGTGTCAGCCGGGAAAAGTTCTCGCAGCTTCTTTCACGTGTGGAACCAAGAATGGCGCGACAAAACGAAACAGCGAACGGACAAAACGCAGTGGTGCGCTGTCTTTGTTTGGCTTATTCGAAAACAAAATACTGCTGTGCTGGTGCTACACTACCCTAAACGCTGTTCAAATCAATCTCGCCATAAATCCGCGCGCGAAAAAACACTCGGCCCTTTCAGTCTGGGCTTTCGCGGACGAGGCGTGGATCCCAGGAATCGCCGACATGATGGTCATGTGATAAGCGGTCGACGGATGAAAATCGCGATTCAATCCATCGTGTGAATCTGCCATTCTTTGACAATTATCCTAATATAAACAATTGATCCTATTTAAGAAAGAACAATTGTGTTCTATAAAACAATGTAATTAAAAAGAAGCTTTGTTATTTTTTAAATAAATAATGTCCGCTCCTTTGACAACGGAATGGGTCGATGCTTGGTTGAATAAAGACTTTCCGTAGATGAGACATTGCGGTTTGCAGACGCTTGCTTAATCCATGCCCAAGGTGAAGACATGAGCTTATGTATAATCTAGAAAAAACAAGTTCTTAATGGCCGTGGTCAAGAGAGTGTTCATGCTTTCAAGAATAGGATGGGGTGAAAGGAAAAGTGAATTCATGATCAATGTGTGCTCCGGGTTACTCACTTCGTCAAAGTTTCTGCAGCATGAACCGGGTCCTAGCAGAAAGACGAAGGATAACCACTTCGATATCTTGAGGGTGTGGCAAGGAATGAAATAAATAAAATGCCTAGAAAATTAGGGGGAGCAGTATGGCAAGAAATTTTCGAAGGTTTTGTTCTTTACGCCTGAATTCTTTGTGCAGGAAGCATTCCTGAAGCATTTCTTGAGTCATTTGGGCCATAAGTCATTGCTAGTCAAAACGTGTTTCCACATATGCATATCGGCTGAGCACCTGTTCTTTTTTGAAACATGAAACGATTTTTTACGCAACCCCCAATCCCGAAATTTTTTTCGTCCGTCCGTGCATTTTTCGCTAAATTTAGCGGTGAAATTGACGTCACGTGACCTATATATGAAGTAAGTTTCGCCTCTTAATTTAGCAGGAAAATTTATGTCACGTGACCTACAGTCAAATTAAGATTCCCCGATAAATTTAGCGAAAAAATTGACGCAACGACGCACCAATTCAACTTCCTCGTTAATCTGAGCGGAAAAACTGGCGTTACCTGTCCTATGCGCCAATGCATTTCCCCCGTTAAAATTAAAAAATTTATTAATGTGGCGATGCAGGCGAGTTAGTTCATGACTTAAGAAATTGAGAACAGCGCGTAAAAAAGACGAGGACACCGAGAGTAGAGCACAGGACAAGCGCTGACTATAAACTGAAGTTTTATGAAAAACGGCTCAAACGAGAAAACACCACAAAGCCAACCAACGCCGAAACAACCAATGGCGTGTCGCTCACCATGCATCCATAAAATCGATCTCTTTTCGTAAAGATAAACCGAAGGCTGGCTGACTCAGTTTCCTCGCTAAATTTTGAGCGGAAAGCTTAGTCCCACGATTTGACGTCATGTGAGCTTTACTCACATTCAGCTTAAAATAAAATTACAGGTGGACGCTTAAGGTACGCTTCGAAGAGTGGAACGCAATAGCCAAACATATAAACCCCCGCTCGTTCCCAAACTGTGCAAGCGTGTCTGCGTGGCATATACTCACTCTGTTCGCCTTTAAGCTGAGACTACGATGGGAGCTACGTGCCCGGCGGACCAATCAGCCACCTCCCTCTTGTCAACTGACCCGGCTCTCCGCACGTAGGTATGGCCGGGAGCGTGATGACGTCACGAATGAGAGGCATGTGACTGGTCCAAAAGGGACGTATATAAGCTTCCACTGCAGTCTCAGCTTAGGGGTGGATGGAGTGCGGTCGGTAGCGTGTCTGGCTGGCAACCGAATACCGCCTCCGCCTAAGATTCTTGAAATCTTGCTTTAAGGCGAATGAATCACTTCATAAAGTGAAATCGTTTGAGACATGCGGCGGCCCTTAATTTGCATTACATGTCACGTTTCATTCACTTTCTTTCTACGCACGACCACGTTTCACGTGAGCGTTGTGAATTCGAAATTCCCACGCGAGGTCATGTGGTTGTGACGTCATGACCCTGGAGCAATGACATTTCATTGAACGGAACATGCCGTAAGTTACAAAAAAAAAATCGCTCGACACCTTCTCTTGACACCCAAAACCGACAAAAGGCTGCACCGAGCTCTGTATTTTGTTTTTAGGATTGCAAAACCTGCTGCTTTTCGAACCCGCAGTCCGGTTTGGGCCTGCCTTTCCGCTCAGTGCTCCGTAGTCTGCCGAAGTGCAAATTAACGCATTGCATTCCGGAGTGAAGTTGACGCTGTCTTCGCACCAAGGGTGCAGAGATTAAGGGTGCACTCACGAGGACGGTCGAGGCGACCAGGTAGCAGGCCACGAAGGGAGCCGTGAGGACGCTGTTGCCCTCGCTCATGAGAAACACCAGCACCACGAAGAGCAGGTGGCCGGGCAGCGACAGCGCCAGCAGCAGCTGGGAGACCCGCGCCTGCCGGTCTGCGCCAGCAGAAAGATAGAGTGGGGTCAGTCTGGCCACACGACTCTCTTTCCAGGCTCTCTCGTCGTGCGAAACAGAATACATGGAGTCATGCGCTGCGACATCAATTAATGTACTGAACACGAGCTGTTCTTTAATCCAGGAGTTTATTTATTTCAGAAAGTTATAAAATCGGAATTGAAAAAAAAAAATGAACGGCCGTTTTAAGCAATGGTGAGACTTTGGAACAGACAGATAGGTACTAATACAAAGTGTACGTCATTGATTTCATATTTATAATGTCATCAACACTACTGTTGAATGAAAACAGTCCGTGAAGTCAGAATATCGGCTGACTTAAAGTGTAAAGCAAATATCAATTAAATGTGCAAAACATAACACTGAAAATATATCTTTTTTTAAATCCAAGTTATTCTATAGCGGCGTAGTGCCGCGCAAAGCATTTTGGGTTTGGGCACTTTTTGGCCACCGTTTCGGTATATATTTGCCAACCTCAATTCACGACATTCCGTCACGACCAAACACAATGCACTAATATTAGAATATGTGACTTTCCTTTAATTTATGGTCTTGCCTACCAATACGGATAAAATGCCAGGGTCACGTTTTCTGGGGCTCCCGACGTGCCAGAGTTTGTGCGCAGGTAAACAAAGGAGGAAGAAGAATTATACTAGGCCGATGATCCTGTTCTATTGACTCAAGGACCTACGCCTCTTAATGATCGAGGACCCGGGAGGGTCATTCTGCACTTTGGAGTGGTAGCAGGAAAGGGATAGGACGCGGCAGGTTTTACTCCTACCCTTCGCTAAGTCTAGGCAGGACGTTACTCTGACGAAGATGAATGGGTGCAATACAAGCGTGCTCCGACTTTATTTTAATCCAGTGCTGAGATTCACCACTTTGTCACTGGGGTAATCGAAACCAAAATCATGCCACTCCTCTCAATGGCCAAATAGGCCCCATAATGCAACGCACGCAGTGTTGCATGAACGGATTTTGGAAATAGTCCATTAGCCCAAGTAGCACAAGAGGTGGGGCCCACCTGGACAATGGGGGTTCGGCCAGCCTCTACGAAACTCACGTTGGTCCCACGTGGGTGCAGCGTGGGCATGCCCAACATGGGCTGCCCACGAAGTGCTGCGGTGAGTCCCACCTCGGATATCACAGGGCAAAGTTGGGCACAGCGTGCGCAAGCCCAACTTGGGCTGCCCACACGGCCACGAGGCCCACCGCGTGGCCGCGGTTTTGTCCCATCTTGGCCACGCAAGGGCACGCCCACTTTGGGCTGCCCGTGCATACCCCCGCGGGTCCCACTTCGGTAATACAGGGGCAGAGTTAGCAAAGACACGGGCAAAGCGTGGGCAGGCCCAAATTAAAATGTCCCCCCCCCCCAAAAAAAAAAAAAAGTTGGTGTGGCCTTGGCCGTGCGGGGACTAAGTTGCGATGATGTGGCCTACACGGCAGCCGCCTCGGTGGCTCCGAGGCGAGAGCGCCGGCCTACGGATCCCCATGGGGCGGGTTCGAATCCCGGCCGAGGTGCTCGCAATCTGACGGAGGCTTATTGCGGAGAAAGATCCCCAGGTGGTCGAAATTAATCCTCAGTCCTGCGAGGCTGGGGCGCGCCAGATGCCCGTCGTTGGTTTGGCTCGTAAAACGTCAAAATTTTGAATTTTGTTTGGCCTCCACGGCGGCATAGCGTGGGCATGCCCGACTTGGGCCGACCATGTAAAACCCCCATAGACCCGCCCCCGACCCGACCCGACTTCAGGGGGCCAAATGCGATATTGCCGCGCGCGCAGTTGACCAAGTAGGCAGCGCGCTCCTAGCCTAGCGGTTATCACGCTTGCCTTCCACGCAAAAAGGCCAAAGGTTCGATGCCCGGCCGCGAGTACACATCTTTGTTGACTGTGTAATGTAATGTTCTGGTGAATTCGAGAACCGTGTTGCTGATGATTCGAGGTTAGTATGTTCTACGCGCCAAACCTACGCCGATTGTTCAAGAAGCCCACGCTTGTAGAAAAGTGCCACGCTGTCAGTCTAGCGTTAGACTGACAGCGTGGCAAGCCGCTGTCAGTCTTACGCTAGTGCCGGATCCTGCCTCTTCGCTGATATCGTCGCTCGCTTACGACACTTTTTCTTTTAACCCCTTCGTTTTGGGCACAAGTTCGCCCCATAAAACGTTTCTCCTTCCTGTTCATTTTTTTTTTGTTTCTTTGGTCACCACCCATGACAATATGAGGGTTGCACGGCGGCGAAGCGTAGGCCTGTCCTATTTAGGCTGCCCATGTAAAACTCCCGTGTGTCCATCCTCGGCTTTGCGGGGACCAAGTCATCAAAGATGTGGGCTCCACGGCGGCAAATCGTGGGCATGCCCAACTTGGGCTGCCGTGCAATGCCCCCGCGGTTCCCACCTCGGTTATACGAAGGTACAGCTTGGGCATACCCCACTTGGGTATGTCCAACAAAGAAGAAAGGAGGAAGAAGAGGCGATGACTTATGCCCTGTGCTGGTGTGTTTTAATTTGATGTGATTCATAATGGGGCACGTTGAATAACGAATGAGTGGTGGAAAAGAAAAAAAAGAAGAAGCAGTCCTCGCGTGGCTTTTTATGTATGTTTCCAGAATAGATAGTTCATAGTCAGCATCTCGTCCTGTGTGTCCTCTTTTCTTTGTCGGTGTGTTATTCGCGCTGCTTTTCAATATGTTTTATATAGGCGCCAAATGGTTTTTTCAGTAGGGCTGTTATGACATAGTCAAGATAATACCTCGTTAGGGCATATATATTACCAAGATAATAATCTACGTATGAGATGACTTTAATTATAGGCATTCCCACGTGGAAGCAAGAAAGATGTTTGACAAAATGGGCGCTACTGAGAATCCGATGCACACCTTCGCTCTCTAAACAGAAGTGTCGATTCAATATGACGGCCGTCGACTGCAGGTAAAACTCTATCAAGGCCGAAACGTGATCGCTGCTTACTCCTATGAATATTGTAACGCCATCTCTCTTAACTCTGAGATGTTGCCCCGCATAGCATCTAAAAGTAATCCGTCTGTTACCGATTGAACAAAAAGTTCAACGTCAGTGGAGAAGGCTGTCCTCGCATTTTGTTTAGACCCCCCGTCCCCAGCGTCTTCACAACTTCACGGGAGCTTCGAGCAAAACACGGGTCGTCAGTCGGCAATCCACTCATGTGACGCTGTATGAACCGCCTAACTTGAACATATTTTGTTTTCATGCTTGTTGTTTTGGTTCCCCAGGGGCAGTTGTATTCCCGTTTCTGCGAGGAGCTATTGTTCAGCATTGCGGAGGGTGTAGACATACGATGTTGAAAATAAAGTTAGTAGCTCTTGAGAGGGTGTGTGTTTGTCCTTTTTTGCTGTGTCGGTTTCATGGATAATTTGTTTCGTTGTGTAAACTGCCGGGGCCTGGAAAGACCTGCAGTGTTTCAATAAATAAATCTGATTTCAAAGAAAGCATGATCGAACCGCTAAGCAACCACAATTCAAGGGACATGATATGCCTTCCAGTAATGAACCCTGCCTTGATGGCGCGAATAAGAATCAGGCCTGTGATGCGGCTCCGTGAGTGCTCTTGGTGGGCTTTCCATGGGCCGTCTGCCTGTTCCAGCCGAGCCGAGTGAAGGGAGTCGGCGAGACTTACTCCGGCGGCAGAGTGCCGTGATGGGGTCGACGCAGGAACGGGAGTCGTCCTCCGGATGCCGGCCCAGTTGGGACCGCTGCGCGAACAGGGTCGACAGGCGACTCGCGTGGATGGCCGCCAGGTTCCCGTTCACCCCTGCGTTGGACCACGGGCCGTTGGCGTGGCGAAAATAAACTGCCCCTTAATAAAAATAATCTCTCTAGATGCTCACAGTTTAAAAACACGGGGCAGTGCAACTGCTAGTAGGGTATTTTTAAGGTTCATCATGCAGTGGTGATACACCACCGCACGCCACATCATCTTACCAGCGTTCGGTCGTGTATTATTCCTGCGTGTTTCACGTTTGCAGGCTAGTAGTTGTACTGCGCAGTCAGAGTTTATTATCGGCAGCGTAAACCAGTGTAGCCGCATCTCAAAGGCTGACCTCACGCTGTAAGAAAAGGAACGTGAAACGAGTTTTATTTTTAGCTCTTCCAGTACGTGCACGTTGTTTTCCGGCGAGCTTTGGCTGAGCGTGGGTCCAAGTGTTATCGAAGGCAGACTAGTCGCGCTCCAGGTGGAGCACCTACCGTGTTTTAACCTGTCACCGACTACAGTAATGTACGCTGCAGGTCTATGTGATGGATTTCGATGCGATACGATTAGGTATAGCGGGAATAGTACTAAAACGCGGATGCGTCCTGCCTTACTCGCTTGTCCGATATTTTATTTGTATCCAAAACTATTTCATGAGATGTTATGAGTATCCTTCGCACCAAGATGCGTTACACACTGAAAAGTGTACGAAGGTAGCTTGAGAAATGTATACCCATATGGCTACACTTCTTGCTACCTTTACTTTGAGTACCCGTTTTTATCGCAAAATAATCTGCAGGCCTGACTAAGCATGGTTCTTAAAACCACAGTTTGGAGGTTTCAGAAGAATGCTTGCCCAGGCTTGCAGCTCATAGTCGTCTTTTGTAAACAATGAAACAAAAATTACTAAGGAACCGGAACTTTCCAAACGCCGCTAATTATTAGACTATATGTGTATTTTCACAAATTAAACAATTATTTAAACAATTTTTGTTAATTATATTGCTAATTATTATGTTTCCTTGCGAAACCCTGACGTCCACCATAGCTGGCTGTTTGTTCCTGAAGAGTTTTTCTATTTTTTCCTAGAAATGTTTGAAAGCCTTAGCAGAGAAACCGGCCATAGTGACTATGTTCTCGTTGCAATACACTATACAATTAAAAAGCGATTTCACGGTCCACCAAGAAGCTTTAGCAATCAATCATAAAACTAGAAAACCTTTTTTTAAAGTTTATATTTAAATTCGTTCTATCTAGAGTTTAGGATTATTTAGAAGTTAACGTTTGCCGGCCAGAGTTGGTTGCTATGGCCGGCATTCTTCGCTTTTGGTTTCTAATCGGGTATGCAGTCGGACTGTCTGTTGCATTGTGTAGAGTTTTTTTATGCATCAATTGTAAAAGTAAAAAACATGCTTCCGGTAGGCCATGTAATCCGCGCACTCATTTTATATCGTAAAATTAAGCTTACATAAGAATAAAAAAAGCATTGGGATGATATCTCATAAACCCTCAGCTTACATTTGTACAAAGACATTTTCGTGTCAGAATACGCTGAAAGTCGTTTTATCGTAATTTCTTTTAATATATTTATAGAATAAGCGAATATCCTTCCAGAGACCCTTCGCATGGTTGGAAACATGATCGCAGTTATGAGATCACCGAGGAGTCCATGACAGTTACACCCTGTCCGGAAGATCCACTTAAAAGGAAGGAAATCTTAATATTTGTTTTTTCTTTTTGTTTTGTAAAACCAACTTCAAGCAGGCGCATATTTTGTAAATATGAAAATGAAGAAAGGACAGCCCAATAACATAGTGTCATTTTATTTGGGCCAAACAACAAAAAGTGGGAGATGAAAGACGGTCAATGCCCGCAGCATCGACCGCCTTTGAGGTTCGCCTCTCTTAAATTAATACGTGCTAATAAGAAGACTCTATCCGTGGTGCACTTGATGCAGAAATGGCATGCATGAACTGCGCTAGAACAGTGCGGTACGGAAACTCGTGCTGGCGCGAGTTCCAGCGCTCCAGAGGATCGAGTTCAGTCTTTTCGATGTACTGGAGGCGAAGAAGCCACTTGCGTAGGCTTCAGCTTTTTTGTTGCTTATACCTTTTGCGTTCTCTTTGCCTCAAAGAACGTTTTCCGCTCTTTCCCATCCAAACAATAACAACTTTTCCCGGGACGACTTATGTTCCTGCATTCTTTAATTTTTCTAGGGACCGCATTTATGGCGAGACAGAAAGTTCTAAAGCAATTTTTGTTTAGAATCACATCTTCCTTGACTTAAACAGCAATTTTCTCCCCGACTGGCAGCTTTGATCTAAGAGAGTATAGTTTGGTCTCGCAATACGTTCGATGATGCACATCATAGTATCACTCACTTCTTTACTCTACGCTGTGCACCCGCACACGTTTATTATGGGTCGCCTCGGCAAAAATGTGTATCCGGACGCGCGGATATCCGCATCCGATCCGTATCCGCAGCCCCTGCCACCCGGATCCGATCCGGAATCAGCCAAATCTGATTCATTTTTATCCGCACCCGCCAGTTTAGTGCAGGTATCCGCGTATGATCCGTGGGTAATCCACCGATATCCAGGGCTTCATGAATGTAGTACTTGCCGTTGATGACGGGCTGGAAGGCTGCCAGGCCGCTGAACCGGCTAACGGCGATGTCCAGGATGAAGCCCCCAGCGCTGCAGGCAGAGGGGACGTTGCGTCACGCGTTGCTGGCTTTTACACAATCTCTGCAGTGTCGCTACGTCCGAATTCGAAAGACAGATGGCCGCAGCAAGAAACCTCACATGTGCCAGCTTTGAAAAAAAAAAAAAAAAAAAACGCTCCCAAGAATTGTGCGTGTAAAAAACTAAAACATGATTCCCAAAAAAGTGAAATGGTGCAGATTGTATTTTCAGTAAATATCGCTTAAATTAAAATATTGACGTCAATAACCTGCCAAAGTCTTTTCTCTCTGCGAGGGTTTCTCGCCGCGACTTTACAGTTGCAGAAAAATTTAGAAAGAAACAAACATCGTTCCCTTCCTCAACTCCCAGGCAGTACAAGCAGCCACGTGATCTGGTGCCGAGAGTGTCAAACCGAAGTTGTGAGTGGTTCGGTTTGGTTTTGGGTTCACGGTTTTCGGTTCAGTTCAGGGTCAATTTTTAAGAACAAAAATAACAATTCAAACCGGTTTGAACCACTCAAATTTAATACGTGTTTGCCATTGTTTTGAGAATATGCACTACATCCGTCGTGAAACCAGTATAGTTTTTATTGTGTTTATAATCTACGTGTATTCTCATGTAACGCAACCATTCAAATTTTCTCTTTCTTCAACTGTTTCATGTTTCCCTTTTCTTATTACAGTCTGAGGTATAATTTATCATGGTTAACCTTCACCAGCGCCGCACCTTCACGCTTACTATTTTCTTCAACGAACAGACTCTGATTTGACCGAAAAAAACGTCAACCACATCCTCAAAGCATTAGAAAGGATGTCTTTCAACTCCCTGCGACACAATAGGTATTGACAGTAGGCACAATCGTCGAAGTCCCTCAAGAGTTTGCAAGAAATACTGCATTAAAGGTCTCAAGTTCCACGTAGAGTTTTGTATCTTAGTGAACTCTCAAGTCTCACAACACTTGATGACTCCATCGTTGAAAGTGGCACGTTCCAAAGCATCTTCCGTGAAGCAATGCGCAGAGAAGTAGCTCGAGTCTTGGGCAACGCGACCACCGACCCCGCCGCTCAGATGTTGCCGCCTCCCATAGCCGAATATTTAAACCTTCATCTTACACAAGACGAGAGGGAGCAGTTCTATCGCCTCTGAGCTGATTTTGGAATTTTAACATTCATGCGCTAGCTTCGGCTGAAAGTGAACGAGCTGCACACGATGACGTTTCTAGCAGGCACTTTTAAAATAGAGCTACAGAACAAAGGCACATTGTTGCCTCAAGCATGTGGGGTCTCGCTGGCCCACTTATGATCCACAACCGAGCGCCGGCGCCTGGGGACATGCCGGTCGCCTCTGTTGCGAAAACGGCGTTTTTGGTGCCCGAGTGCATCCTTCCTCAGGACCCATCTTGAAGACAATGGCGACGGCGGCGGTAGACATCTGTGAACCCCCCTCACGTCGGCACCCGAGGGCCTGCACGAGCCGCGGTAGAGCCGGACGGCGAGCTCCACCAGCGGGCTGCCCACAATGGGAGACAGAGGCTACCGCCTGTCTGGTGCGCGGCGAACGCAGGAACAACGAAGGAAGTTGGAAAGGCGAGAGGCGAGGGGTTGGAGGAGGACTCTTGTGCGGGGAATGGGCCACGACGGACGTTTGCGGTGGTGGCGACCGGAACGTCGACTCGGGCGACGCACAGGTATCATAGTCCGGACTTGAATCCCGGATGCAACCCTTGACGATGACATCCCCAGGATGCGGTGTGGACAGCACCGATGGGACAATTAGTGTGCTGCATACAGAGGTGGTGCACCCCTCCCAGGCTTCCTCGATGACTTTTTCCAATCCTGAAACCGCCCAACAGATTGTGAGTGGAATAAACCCCTTCTGCTGTTTCACGGTTAATCCAGAGACAGGGGATAGTGGAATCGGAACAGAACCCGACAAGCAACGTCATACTTCACCACACCACAAGCTTTACGGACACAACAGAGCATATTAAACCCTAAATTGATCCTCTTACATCCACCTTCGCCCCCCCAAAAAAAACAACAAAAAAAACAGGCCCTTCGACCCGGGGGAGGGGGTTATTGAAATTGTGTTGAAAGGAAGATGCCATGTTCTTCTTTGAGAGGCAGTGCTATTTATTGTAACGAATGATTTCTTAGAGAGGAATTAGAATAATGTACATGTACACAAATACTCAGCACTAAGCTTAATATTATGTGCAATTATATGCCCTCTTTAGTGAAAAATAAAGACGTTTCTGACTAACTTACCGCGCACAGCAGATGGAGAACCAACTAGTCTGCTGGTTGGCATAAAAATATCAGTGAATGAAATAACATTTGTACTAAAAGTGACTGAGGTTTTGTTGCTGCTCTTAGAAAGCATTACGGTCGTGTAGACTGAGCGCAAATCCATATTTTTTCTAAAGTCGCCAGCTCGGGGTTTTGAACGAGTAGATCACGTCTCTTTAAATCAAATCAACTTTATTTACGGCCTTGAGCCAACGGTGCCCCCAAACAAAAAGCTGCCAGAGGCAGCTTGACAAAGTCTGGTGCCCGTCCCCAGTTTGGCAGTACGACTGAAAACCACATGCACACATTAGCTATGTACAAAGGGGAGAATACTCTATGTGATTAAATAATCAAAAGCGCCTCTTTGAAATAAAACATTTCTTAATCTATGTTAAAGAAAATGCAAAATTTACATAACGTCTTGTGAAAGAAACATTCTACAGATACAAAAATACAAAATTCACATAACCGCTTATGACAGCCACAAAAACAACATACTACAAACACAAAAAAGGTAACATGCTGCCTCCGCCACTCGCAGACCCCTTTCGAGAAATTGCAATTACTGGCTCCCCATGTGCCACACTGAAAAATAACCGCACGTACTTCGTCCATGAAATGCACCAAATCCACCAAATCCGCCAAACCAATGGCATATTAAGTCCGTTAAAAAGTATACAGTGCATATGCCACAATGTATCGGATATTATCATATATACATACACGCGCAATAATATGCAATACACAAAATAACGCAGAAAAAAAATTGTATATACTCGTTTTTTTCTATTTGCGGAACTTGGACGTACATTTTGAATTAGACTTAGCTGCTCGGATGAGCTGCTTGTTTTCTCTCGCCATCTTTAGAAAATCTTCACAGCGGTACACCAAATTATACCGCACACAGAGCTCCACTTTAACCATTGGGACGCTTAGCTGACTTCTCTCATCCGTCCACAAGTTCCTCATCACGCTAAAGACGCGTTCCACAAACGCGTTGCTGCGAGGAATGGAGAAAACATGCTCCATTAGGTTCTGCAAATGGGGGCACCTGACCTCTTTCAAGAATTTGAGCCAGATCCAGCTCGATTTCTTGTCAAGTCCTAGAAGTCCAGAGAGAGTATCCCTCAAAAGACAAAGCTCTGACTCGAATTCATCGCCTTACTCTTCAAAATTAATGCCAAAACGCTCCCCCGCATTCATTACGACTGACATGCTGGGTGCACCTTTGCGCAGATCCAATTCGGCGAGCCTCTTAAATAGGGAATTCTCGAATTCAAACCATTTTCCAAGCACGCAAGGGCCCTGTCATAAATATTCACGAAGTCCACCGTTGCAGCCTGTCCGCCCGGAAGGGTTTCAAGTCTGTATCATGCCGATATGGTACCGCATGCCAATCTTATCATTCTGCTTATGCTCTGTCATCTATAGCACTGAGTCATGCCGCAGGTACCGCCCCCCTGTTTTCGGCTATATAAACGATGCCAAATAAACCTTGGTTGTTGTTGCGTTCACGAAGCCAGCAGTGTCGGACTGACTTTCTTGTCAGCTGAGAGCCAGCTGATACATGGTGTCAGAAGTGGCCCACGCGACCACACCAGAACCGTCAGCAGGAGGCAGTCATGGAACCACTCAAGCAGCCCGACCCTTTGCTCCTGTCGGGAAACGTTCAGAAGAACTGGACGCTCTTCAAACAGAAGTTCGAGCTGTACCTGCAAGCGACGGCGCCAGACAAACCAAGAATGGAAGCTACCAAGGCGGCCACACTTTTGACCATCGCCGGTGATGACGCCCTAGAGATCTTCAATAACTTCGCCTTCGCTGAGAGTGAAAGCAAGGAAGATTACAAGACCCTTGTCGCAAAGTTCGAGGACTACTGCGCGGACCAGCAGAACGAGGTGTACGAAAGATACGTCTTTCGGACAAGAACGCAAGACGAGGCGGAACCGGTGGAGCAGTTTATCCGCGTCCTCAGGAAACAAGCAAGGTACTGCAACTTCGGACAACTTTCAGATTCAATGATTCGCGATCAAATCGTCTTCGGCACTAACAACAAAAATTTACGGGAGAAAATGCTTAGGGAAAAGGATTTGACGCTCCAGAAAGCAGAACAAACCTGCAAAGCCGCAGAAGCCTCCGCTAAACAAAATGAGGCATGGTATGCCCACGAAGAAAAGGTGGACTCAATCACAAAAGGCTACCAGCGCCGCTCAGATGCTTTAAGAGCCGAACAGTGCTTCAAGTGCAACAGGAGACACGAAAAGAGGAAATGCCCCGCTTTCGGGAAGACTTGCTACGCCTTTCAGGGACGCAACCACTCCGCAGCTTGTTGTAACAAACAAGTCAGCGAGGTGAAGCACGACGACGAGGACTTCGACATCTTGGACGTGGGTGTTTGTGGCATCGAGAAGGAACGGGACTGGGTTGTCAAGGCCCAGCTAGCGGAGCAAGTGGTCTCGCTGAAGGTAGACACCGGCTCCCAAGCCAACCTGTTGCCCCTGTCGGTGTACAAGAGACTGCACCCTAAGCCGTTTTTAAGACCAAGCCACGCGGTCTTGCGCTCGTACAGCGGGAATGTCATCAAACACTGCGGCGTCACAACACAGGAGGTTACGATCAACCAGCATCACTGCCGCGTCGACTTTTTCATTGTTAAACGAAGTCAGGCCATTCTCGGGCTACAGGCGAGTGAGCTCCTGGGACTGGTGTCCCGAACGGTGAACT